TGTGGGCCGAGCCACGTATTATTTCCCATCAAGAAGTCCTCCACTTTTTTGAGTTGTGAGAATCATCAACTTAAAAAAGTAAACAAGTCCTCCGAGTGTGATCTTCAGTCTTCGTACTTTGAATTCTTGACCGGTAGATATTATTGCTAGTCCTCCGAGTCTTCATTAAATCTCTAATTTCTTGAATCAGAAGTTTTTTCCTGCAAAAAATAATTTGTACAATATTTTTTTTGACCGGCCTATGCCGTGCTCAAAAAATTATTATTTTTACCGAGGAGCTCAGTGTTAGATGATTAAGATTCGCGCGAATAATTATCGTAACGAGAGCGATGTCAGTTCGATAAAGCAACGATGCTTCGAAAAGTTATTTCGTCGAGGTCGGTGTTAATACGAGTCAAGAAAACGATGCGTGACGAAATTAGTATACCAATGACAACAACCTTAGTTAATAAGAATTGAATCCGACGCGGTAGCTTTGTTGAAGATCAGTGTTAGCCCGGCCGACTGATGTAAATATCTTCATGTCTCGCGGAGACCATCTTCGATCAAAGTGCCTCAGATTGAGGGCTTAAATGAATCGAGCGTCCCCGATATGAGCTTTGCTCACTTTTTTGCTGAAACCGATGTGCAATCGGTGTACCCAATTCGATTGGGCTCAGGCTTATTGGAAAATATGTGTAAGATTGGTGTGAAACCAGTGTACCAGTTCGACTGGGTCACATATTTTCTTTATTATACTGAGCAAGACCGGTGTAGTAACCAGTGTGCCAGGCCAGGCCTGTGTCTCAGTCTTCCAATAAGATAATGCTGCTGGCCAGGCTAGATCAACATTGGAGAATTAACCATGTGGGATGGTTTCGACCCCTCTCCAAGGCCCAAAATGCACCCTTCTTCCAGGGCCCCCTCTTCCGGGTGATTAAGTCTTTTAATGACCCTTTGATATTTACTATCTCGGGAAGACCTTAGCTCACCCCCCGTTCAAGTCTTCCCTAAGAAGAGGGAAATAGGATGCGCCACGGTGGACGATCTCTCTTCTATTTCTTTTAATGGGCATCTTTTAGTCCCCAATCAGTTTGCCAGTCTCGGCTGATTCCCCGATACCGGTCAAACCTCATGGGCCCGTGTAAGTACGGTTCGAACCTTCTTCCAGGTCCAGCCCTCTTGCAGGCATACCCTCTTCCGGGCCCCTCTTCCGGGTTTATTATTTTTTTATTTTATACTGAGCAAGACCGGTGTAGTAACCAGCATACCAGGTCCGGGCCTGTGTCTTAGTCTTCCCTTGAGAATGGTTGAAAAACCAACACATCACCGGATATCAACAGGACTTCCACTAATTTGTTTTGTGGTCTTGTGCAATGTACACACTTCAATTTGATATTAGTGGGCTCCCTTCCAAAAGGAAATAATGAAATGAAAGTGGAGCTGTCATATTTGCTTCCTCCTCAATATCCTGATTATTGATATCCTTTTTTTTGTCTTGGAGTTATTGCCTCTTTTCCTCTTGTACAAGTGCTTTTACATCTCCCTTTCTCCTTTTTCTTTTGTCAATGTTTGCACATGCATGCCCTGTTCAGCTGTTCCATCCAATCTTTTGCTCTAATCTTCCCTTAATTTTGATGGAGGAGAAAAACCCAATAATATAGCTCGCACATGGGGGTCAATCAATGACGCTATAGGCAATTGTGACGGTGATGACAGACCTCAGTGACGGTGGCAATGGACATTTTAGTGTAGCAGACGGAGAAGATGAAGACATGCGTGCGGAGCAAAGACACAAAATGGCTAAATTGCGAGTCCAATCAAGAGAATCTGTGTTGGAGCTGCAACGCCTAGGTCCACTTGGCCAACTTTTTTGTGGTGCGGCACTCCCGCAGCCTGCTCTTCCATGGTTGACTGTCCCTGACGCCGTGGACAACTCCCGGTTCCAATCTCAGATCTACTATTTCATCGTGCGAGAGATGTTCTCGCAGGGGAGGTATAAACGGCAGTGAGGCGGGAGATGAGTGCGAGGACGATAACGTCGAGGAAGATCCAGAGGAGGAAGGTGATGATGCGGAAATGGAGGCTGAGGAGGATAAATAAGAGGTGGATTTGGATAATGTTCAGGTGGTTCCGTGGTCATCCACGGCACCGCGTCCGCCGCCGGCAGTTTCTTCATCGAGCAGCGATGTCTCGTTCTCCAATCTTGAAAATCTGTCGCCATAATTACTCCTCCCGGCCGCACCTTGGCGGCATGATGCCAGCAGCTCTCAGGAATGGCATTCATTTGAACAAAGGGCCTTCGACGGTTTCACCGGCGCCGTTGCAAAGGAGCAACGAGGTGACAGCCGTGGGAAGCGGATTTGAGTGACGGCGGTGCGGGTTTCCGAATCGACAGCTCTCAGCGGCTCCAACGGTGGCTATGAGGATAGCCAATCTTCAAGCAAATGTGTGGCGCCTAGATCTCGAGCGAAGTGATGGTGATGAATCGAAGCAGTGAGAAAAGTCTACTGCAACTATCACTATATTACAGCTCCGGCCGGCCTCAATACAACCACGACAGATTTCAACGGCGAGCTCCGATACAACCACAGCCCCGCTACGACAGTGATGGAATTGGGTGGCTACAGCGATCTGCGGCGGCGGTCGCGGGGGTGGATTGCGGCGGCGGCGGCTCCCGTCACTGTGGCAAAGGTGGCTTTGAGAAATCGAGGACAACAAGCTAAGGGCAAGCGCGATAGACATTAGCGGCGGTGCTCCTCTGGCCGTTCCTCCAATTTTCTTCGGATTTCTCTCTTCTTCTTTTTTTTGTTCCTTCTCTCTCCCTTTTTTTTCGGGCCCCCACTACACCCAAATTTTTGGGTCTCTTGAAGAACAAAGTAAAGGAATTGAAAATTTATGGCTTTTTGTTGAGGTCCCACGATCGGCGCCAAAATGATGGTGTAAATTATCGACCGGTATATCGTTTTTAGCCCGGCTAAAACGATTAACAAGTCTAAAAAATATACCAAAATATAAACACGAGGATTTTTACGTGGAAACCCAAATCGGGAGAAAACCACGGGCCTTTTTTGGCGGTACCTTGCCAACGAGGGATTTTTATTAATATCGAGGGTGTGTACACGATACATGATTTAGGCTAGAAGCCATTAATGGAGCATTTGAGCTCTTGAAGAAGAAAATATACACAAGCTTTCTAGAGAGAGAGTAAATGGGCAGGGAAGGAGTGAAGAGTGTGAATTGCCCCCCTCAACAATTAGGGCAACCCTCCCTTTTATAGGAGAGGGTGAGAGCATCTACGGAGGAATATTATCTTATTCCTCTATTTTATTAAACAGACCCGGTTTAACTGTTCTTTGTAAATAATTGGGAAATGTGGGCCGAGCCACGTATTATTTCCCATCAAAAAAAACAAGAAAGCCTTATTTTGGTACTTTTATCTATGTTTTAATCCTATTTAGGGTTATTTCTAGAGATTATAAACTTTCCAAAATTGTAAAAAAATTTCATATGGTATAGTCCCTCTCTCCCCAATTTAATTACAAAGTTGGCTTTACAAGTAGAAATAACTCACTTTTTGAAATCATTTTATTTACAAATCGATATATCGGTAGGAAATAAAAATTACATATTAAAAAATGTCAAAAATTCTACAAAACAAAAGGTGATAATAATATTTAATTTTATCAAATACTTAATAAAATAACGTAAACAAACAAAAGTTATCTAGATGAGAAAAAAAATTGTAATCAAATTGGGACGGAGGGAGTATAATTATAATATTATTCAACTCTTTGGGCACTCACCCCTTATATCACCATACATTCCCACCATGTTAAAATTGTTTATGTAATATTATGTACAACCTCTCTCCTTGAGTATTTGTCAAATTTTTACTCTTTTCAATTTTCAATCTTTAATCCATAATTAAATAAAGAGTAAATTCCATAAAAGGTCCCCAGTTATAGGTCGTTTTACATATTTAGTCCATACATATCAAATATTACTAATTTAGTCCCCAATTATTATACTCCCTCCGTTTTTTAAAAGTGTTCCTATTTTGACTTTGTGTAAAAATAAGGAAGTGTTAAATTGTAGTTGACTTCCAATTTTGCCCTTGATATGATGGGTAAAAGTAAGATATGATGGATTGAGTATTAGAGAAAAAGTATGATGTGATAGGTAGGGTATGAAAAAGTAAGGGTAAAAGTGGTTTTTTAAAAGAAAGTGGAAGTGTTTTGTTGGAAGTAAAAAAAATGAAAGAGGAAGAGTTTTTGAAAACGGAGGGAGTATCATTTTTCACGAATGGTCCTTTGTTAACGTTTTTGTTAAGAACATGGATAAAATTGTACTCCCTCTGTCCCATTTTAAATTGTCTGTTTGCTTTTTTTATCCGTTCCAAAATAAGTTGCATGTTACTTGTTATCGTAAACTTTTAAGAGTAAAATACCTAAACTACCCTAAAATAAGTCACTCTTTCCACTTTATCTTCTCATTCATCGTTACCCCTCCTAAAAAGTAATGACAATTTCGGAAAATCGCCTCTATTTTTTCTCTTTCTTAAATATGCCCAAAAGTCAAAACATGCGATTTAAAATGGGACGCGGAGCGAGTATATTATATACTTCTCTCTCCTCAATTAAGTTTCCTCCCTCCTCTCGTACTCTTTCCCAAACTCGTCGCTGAGTTTGAAGCTCTAAACCCAAAATTGAGAGAAGAGTAATGATTTCGGTTTTGGGTTCAAAAGCTTCAAACTCAGCGACGTGTTTGGGAAAGGAGTGCGAGGGGAGGGATAAAGCTTAATTGAGGAGAGAAAGGAGTGTGAATTTACAATTTTATCCACGTTCTTAACGGAAATGTTAACAAAGGACCATTCGTGGAAATGAATATAATAATTGAGGACTAAATTAGTAATATTTGATATGTAGGGACTAAATATGTAAAACGACCTATAAGTGGGGATCTTTTATGGAATTTACTCTTAAATAAAATATATGGTGCACCCAATTCTTTTTTGGTGCACTTGAATTAAAACTTCATTGGGTGGGGGGTGGGCAAAAAAAAAGTCAATAAAGCACCTTTAAAAATAAACTGAAGTGAAAAGGTTGAGAAATATAATGAGGCAACCTAAATAGGAAAAACTTAACAGATGCATTAGAACAAAAATGGTTTGGCGTAATATTAGATTACTGTCCAATGGAATAAAGAAGACTAGCAAAATATGACACACATGCGTGCCCCACTCAACATTCAGGAGCAGAAGGATTTCTATCTCACCTCCATCTAGATTAATTAAGGGCATCAAACCCAGATTTCTACAACGCATTGTGTCCCCCCTCCAAAAATACAAACGTGAAACCATATTAGAGAGTGTGTTGAGGAAAACACTTGCTGGATGTGTTGTTCAAGTAGCCACCGCTGCAGCTGACTTTCGGTTGAAATGAACTGATTAACCGGAACAATGCCTCCATCATTAAAATATTGCACATCAGGGAAAGAGCTATTCTGTGAACAAAACGTCTCTCCCACTAACGTTTGATGAGCTTCAGCAACTTGAGTCGTGTGATGCACTGGAACAGCAAGATCATCAAGCTCGAAAAAGGAAGCATCCTCCCGGGGGGAAACAAGAGCAGGTGGACTTCCATGGAAATTAGATCTGCCTCCGTTCAGATCTGCAAAGCTATCAAGATTACAAAGTTCACTGAATATGTCATTTTCATCCACACGCAGCGGCATCATTTCAACATCCAGTCCTGGGTTCTGCAAACAGATGGGAGGGTCAAGTGTTCAGAGAAAAGAATGTATAATTTAGCACCAAAGAAATTCCAATAAGGTCGACTTATTGAAGTTTTGGATGAAATGAGTAAAGTTCACAACATAAAATGTAACTATAGAGAGAAATGGCATGGCAGAACATTTTAGCAGATGCTGCCAAACAATTCTAAGGATTAAAACCATAAGACCCCAAAACAACATATATACAAACATGCAGACAGCATGATAAGATAAACCATAATTGCTGTAGTGGTTTAACAATCATGCAACACAAAGTGACATCAGCATTTGTCTTCACCTACCATTCAACAGCAGCATCAAATCTCAATAAGTTTTATTTCTGCCAATATTTGGAACCTCAACAATAACACTAGAGCATAGGTACAAGTAACATATTCAAAAATTTACAAGAATAGTGATGTAAAAAGCCAAACTACAAACCTGAACATTCTGATCTGGAAGTAAGTCAGTATTCTCTGGAAATGAGGCAAAAAAACAACAGAGATCATCCGCATCGGGTGGAAGCACACTAGAACAAGGACGGCTTAAAGATAGGTTTGGTTCTACCAAAGACTGAATGGATGTGCTTCCCGGCATACCACTCGTGAAAACAGAACAGGTTTGGTTCTTAGTTGGCAGCTCATCAGTAACAAGACTACAAAAGGTTGGACTTGGTTCAGATAAGGGCTGACCAGATGTACACCCTGGGTCAACCACACCAGTCACAACTGAGCAAGCCTGGTTAGTAGGCTCTGAAAGTGGAGAAAGCATATCAGATGGAAATGGGTGAACACCAAACTCAACATCATTTTCCCAGTCTTCCTCCTTGAATGGTGCACCATATTGTGCACCATTTCTTGGGCCTGGTCCACTCTTCTGGAATACTTTACATAGAACATATGAATCCTGTATAGCAGAGAGAAATTATAAAAAAGCTTAAAAAAACAAACACCAATTGGAACAGTAGAGCACAACAGACAATCACCTGAAGAGTTCCTTCTTTGGTATGCAAGTCCACAATCCTGTACTCATGTATAACCCAATCAGTTCTTTTCCCTTTTGGTGGATGGCCTTCATGGAAAACCAAGGTTTTAACCATTCCAATGGTCTGTTCATCGTGAATAACAGGCCTATCCCTTCCAGTTGTTTTCCAAAATCCCCTTTCCGCAGCTCGATTCATTCTAGCTCCACAGGTATACTTCCTCTCTCTCGGAACAAAAAAATACCACTCAAGGTCTTTGCTTTTCAAACAAGATTTGTCTGAAACAGATCAATGCAAAAAATTTAAAATCAAATGATACTAGTAGTCTTAAGCATCTACAGTCAAATATAAGATAATGTCCACGTGCTTCTCCACAGATCAAGGAGGGGACCATTTAGTTAGAGTAAATAAATAACATAAACAATTGACTGTTAAAACTAAGACATAAATTGACCTGGAAGGTCCCATGGGGAGAATTTGTAAATGTTGAGCTCTAAAATAGCATCAAAATGAAATTTCTTTCTCATGATCTTCCTCTTGAGATAGTACAAGACCAGTTCAACATCAGTTGGATGAAAGCGGAAGCCCGGAGGAAGTAATGTCTTTCCCATGTAGAATGGCGAGAACAGAAAACTAGGCTAAACAAACAAAGAGAATCTTCTTCCAAATCTAGAATTCTCACACACACAATACAAATCAAAGGCTGTGGTTTTTAGGGTTTAACGACACGTCTACTTTGTAACAAAAATGGCAGAGCACACTTGGCAAAATAAAAGGAACATTCTGTACACACACCAGTCTCAAACTCCTCTTATCACTCTTTCATAATCCAATCAGCTAATATCAAGTCCAATGCCGAAACAATGTCTTCCGAGCACACCACAACCTTCCGCGATGAATGAAAAAGAAAGCACACCAGAGAAAAGACAGATGTATCCTGAAGGAACCAAAAGACATCTGGCACATGTGACATGCCAATTAATTTAAGCAAAAATTAGCCTCCAAATTTAAGTCATTAGAAGAAAAGAGTATTAAAAAGATAGCACACAAAAATCCCTAAATTTTAAAGGAAATTCATTATAAACCAGACAAACAAGCATCAGAAAAAATGACAAAACTCAGAAAAATCATTCATGCGCGTAAAAATGTTCAGACTACACAACCACCCACCTAAAACATTAATATGAAAAAAATGCGCTTTCACAGAGCACAAAAGGGAAGAATTGAAAAGAAAAGCATAAAATATTGGGATCAGGGAGTGTAATCGAACAAGAAAAGTAAGAAATAGGTATGTGAAGTTCTAAGAAAAGATACCGTCTACTCGGGGGGGGGGGGGCGAGTTCGGTACCCATTGAGAGCCCGGGTCATAAGGAGGATTTAAAACAAAATATAATTAATCAATGAAGCGTAAGCATCATATACATAATAATCAAGTCAATGTGGCCTACCTGGGGATGAAAATTATGGGCGAAGAGCAGGAAGAGGTGGCGGAAGGCGGAGGCGCGGAGCGGTGGAGAAGAAAGTTGAATTTAAGGTTGAGGAGATGAGTGTAGGGTTTATGGTTTATATAGAAAGGTTATGTTGGGAGTCCGATAACTTTGTGCGAGTCTCCGCTGCGAATGGCGCCACGCTAATAAAAATGGCAAAGGGCCGGTTTTAGTTGGGTAGTGGATTTGTTTGAACACAGCTTTTCCCATAGTGTTTGATAACTTTGGCTTGTTTCATTTATCGAATTACTTAAATCATTGTTTCACTAATAACTTTTTTACTTGGTCTTTTGATTCGAAATGCCAAAATTCGAAAGGACCATGCTACGGTGCCACCACATGGGTGCTACCATGAGTGCACCCATGTGGTGGCACCATAGCATTTTCCAATCCGAAAAGCCAAGTGGAGTACCTTTTGAACTTGACTTTTAAAAACATTATTTTTTTAATCATTTTTCTTGAAAAGATATTTTATAATATATATATATATATATATATATATATATATAATAAAAATAAAAGTTAAAAAAATTCAAAAATTTTAAAAAAAATAATTTTAAATTTTGAATTTAAACAAAAGATATGAGAAAATCAAAATTAAAGATCATTAAAAAGTTATAAATTAATAATTTCTGATGCGGTGTTTTTCACTTGCCTTACAATGGAGAATTCTCTCCCTATTTATATTACATATAGTTACATACATAATGGGCACTTATTGTGCGCACAATTCTCGCCATTATCGCTCTCCCCTCAATCATGGTGGCTCACCATATTTCCCATCTTTCCACGTCCCTGCACGGTTCAGGTCCTTTGCTGTACGCTTGGGCCAATTGACTAGAATCTGGGCCTTTCTCTACTACAGCCCAATCGTTCCTGCGATTGGACTGTCCATTGCGTTCCCTGGGCCTGGATATCCATCACAAGTCCCCTAGTTTCTTAGCCATACGTCGCTAATGAACTACAGTTGCGCCACCCTTGGTCTGAGCGCTTGTTACGAAACGATTGCATTTCCCACCCTCTGCTCTGAGCTGTGTCATTTTTATTTCTGCTCCAACTCACTACCCATTTTAGGCGCTTGTACTGTTCTTCATTCATCCCCAATTCCCTCTGCGAATTCTTCACGAAGATTTTTTTGCATCATGGCTCAATCCGCTGAAATTGCTCACTTGGAACTTGGCTCTTCCAAGATCAAGAGTTTTGAACTCGCTCTCATGCGCGACCTTTTAGAAGCGCCCTTCAAAATCCATCATCCAGACGCCATTGGTGGGATTTCGCTTACCCACAATCCAGTGTCAGAGCGTTTCCTGGTAATGCATTACGATTCAGTTCTTCACGACTTCAGGCTTACTCTTCACTCCTTTATCCACAAAGCGTGCAGAAATTGAGATCTCCTCCCTGGGCAATTCACAACCAATGCACACAAATATTTGGCATCTTGCATTCTGCGCTGATGCGAGAAGCTTAGGACCCCTTCTGTGTGGGACTTCATGCATTTCTTCAGCCTCGGGGGCGATTCCCTTTTTTTAGCCTTTACCCCAACCAAAAATACATCCTCTTCCGTAAAGCAGAGTTGCGTATTAAAGGTTGTGAGGACTAGTTCTTTGTGATTGAAGCTTCTGTGGGTCTGCCTTTCAACCTATCCACTGAGCCCCGCAAGATCAAGCTTTCCCAGACCCCCTTTTCCAAAGGTTTCCAGGCCGAGAGAGCCTTTGATGAAATGAAGGATGCCCGTCTCACCGATCATGAGCGCCTCCAGAACCCTAATTTGTTGAGGCAGGTTGGGTTCCACTTCTTAGGAAACAATCCCCTAATCTCATTTGATTCTGCCCAAATCATCTCCCCTGACTCTGGTGCCAGCAGTTTTCAGGAGCCTATTTCCCCTAAGCAGAATGAACCCTCATCCACTAACGTTGAAATCCCACAGTCAAGCCTCCACTTGATGACCCCGAGTCAATCAACACTTCTTCCCCGGTTCCTGACGTATCACCTCTTGTTTTGGTCTTTCAGAAGCTGTCCACCACAAAGAAGCGCAAACATTTAGACATTTCAGCGCTGTCCCAACCCAAGAGGCAAAAAGGTTCCCTTGAAGTCAATTTCTCAAACAGCTGCGGATATTTCTATCTCCTATGTCCCAGAGATAGTTCCAGACCACCCTCCATCTAATGTACCTTTTGGTAACAATAACCCAGCGTCCGAGATAGACAATGCAGTCCAGGCGTCCCAGGAGGATCATCCCCTTGAGGGTACAGTTGACGTCACCCCACCATCCGTGTTGCCCCCTGTGACCCCTCCTACCGACTTTTCATTAAGGGTTTCCACCACAGCGACGGGGCCCCAGATGGCCACACTCATATGCCCTCTTCTTCAACTTCACCACTTTCCTCTGCTGCAACTATCCTATGTCCTCTCATTACCTACAAGTTTAGTCCGGACTCTTTGGCGGTATGCAAAGTATGTCATGATCCTAAACATGCGTCTAGGATATACGTGATGATATGAATGCATTTCTTGATGAATGAAGTTCAACACATACATATAGGTTTGATTCTATATGAAATGATTTATACAATATGATGGTCTTGGGTTCGAAGCTGGATGATAATCGATTATCAATTTCTGATAATCAACTAACATGTTGTGCAACTTGTGTTCCCAAAGACCCGCAGACCATGGTAATCGATTGTAAATGACCATGGTTATCAATTTCCAGGATGAACGTTTACGTTTTCATAGTAAATGAGCCACGAATTTATGGATTATCACAACGTTTATATAACAAGTTTATAGTCAAAAGGTCTAACTAATGAAGAGTCATGATAACGTGGATACACGTAAGTTTAGCCGGGTAATCCTATGAATATAACGATATGATTATACTACGAATTCTAAAGTTAGAGGGCAATGTACTCACCTCTAACGCAGGGGTTGACGAGACGGAAAACGGAGGAACGTACGACTAACGAACGAACGACGATGGACAACAAATGGCTTTTCACGTGAACTTTCTTCCATTCTACCTCCCCGTCTACTCCCCGAAATCACCTCCTTGTACGGCTATGGCTGGCCAAAAATGCAAGGAGAAGAGAGTTGTGAGAGTGTGTGAATACTTGGGAGGTTACAAGATGGGTGAGGGGAATGAAGGGTGAAAGGGTTATATTAAAAGGATTTTAAATGGTGAAATGATGATGGATTAATTAGGGAGTTGAATGGTGGGGGAAGATGGGGTGGCGTGTGGATTTAATGGGGAGTTATCTCCCTTAATTTTATTCCGTTGTGTAAAATCTGACCAGAACGGTACGCGCTTTTTCCGTTCTGGAATCAAACAATCAAGATAAATATTATGACATGATCTAATAATTTTTCTGAAGACTTTATTTTTCCCAACCCCGGTCCGAGCCAGTAATTAATTAAATCAATCAATTCTAATAAACCGGGTCTCAGGGCGTTACACATACATTGTTATTATTTATATAGGCTTAGGGTTTTGTATTCTGTAATTACTTAACGTACCTCGATGAAAATACACGTTTTGGGCCAATTTGCTCCAAATTTAAATCTGTTTGCACTGTCGGATTTGTCTCTTTGAACCCTACACAATGATATAGTTTTTATAATCTATTATCAAATCTATTTATAATGAACTTCAGGTCATTCTCAATAATTAATTAACTATTTTTAATTAATTAATTCTGATAGGCGGGATTTCTGGGCATTTCACTGTATTCTTTTAAATAATCAAACCCAAAACAATAATCAAGAAATAGGGGACAATAAACCAAGGAGAACTTTTCTTTATATCGTGACCCCTGTTTTTGAGAAGATGACGATATAAGCACGCCTACCACCACAACTGCCTATTTCAAAATTATACCCGCCATATTTCAAGCAATTTCTAGTAATCTATTTAGTGGCATGAAACATGAAGACCCTAGGGCTCATATTCTTTCTTTTACCTGGACTTGTTCAACTTTTAAAATTAATGGGTAGAAAAAGACACCGTGCGACTTTGTCTTTTCCTTTTTCTTGTTAGACAATGCATGCAACTTTAGGGGGGTGAATAGAGTTGTTGAAAATAATTGCCGTTTTTCGCAGAATTAATAATATAAACGTAAGTGCAGTGGAAATAAAAGAGAGAAGGCAAAGAGCACACTCATGTATACTGATTCACCACCTCGTGGCTAGTTGAGTTCCCCGAGAGACTCTCTCGAAGCTACCACTACTTCCGTTTAGCTTACGAGTGCTTAACAAACCGTTTACAACTCGAGAACTTGAATCCCACAAACCTCGACACAACCGCTCATAGATATGCTCTCTACAAGACTTTACAACCAAGACTTAAGTCACATAAGTCTTGTACAACAAGAACAATCTTCTTCAACCTCTCAACAAAAACTCTCCCAAGAGTAGAAAAGAGAAATGATTAATGCTCTAACGGATGACAAAACACTCTCTTGAAAACACTTAATTTTCTCTCAAAATATATCAATTTGAGGAAGGAATGAATGGATGATTATAACCTCAAGATAGAGGAGTTTAGGAGTGTTCGTTCATTGGTAAAAATGACCAAGGAATGCAGTTTATAAAGGGGTTGAAGGAATATGTCCGTTGGAGCTTAGAAAAAAGAGTTTGCTAAATTTTTAACACAAAAAATCGATTTTTATACCCAAATAATCAATTTTTTTCTTTTGAGCAAAATTCCTTCAGCAGACGAAATGATAATCGATTTTTGCCAAACTGTAAAAATCGATTTTTAAAGCAATTGTGCCCAAACATAAAGTAAACAATCATGTGTGCGAGGTGAAGTGCTATTTTGGATTTAAGCACTTGTTTAGGACATAAAAATCAAACCAATGGGCTCCCAAAACATCAAATATAATTCAAATTCAAATTTGAATTATGAGAGTGTATTTTTGGTGTAGAAAATGAGTCCCAAAAGTATTTTGTGTGTCAAATGATGAACACGAAAATATTTGAATAAAATATTTTTGTTTTCCAAAAATATTTTCTAATATAAAAATAAATATTTTGATAAATGTTTGACACATCTTTTGTAACTGACTCAATGAATGTATTTTGAATAGCTAAAAGGATTTTTCAACTGACTCCAAAAATATATGATTTTTATATTAATTCTCATAAAAATAATTTTGGAGAGAAGATATTTTTGTCATCCTTACAATTATTCCTAAGACTCAAATAAATACAAAGGTCTTCAGAAATCTTCTACTCCTCCGAGTCCTCTGTTAGGCGTTCTGAACGCGTCTCGGACTCCAATAAAATCCTGTGCAGCTTTTTGAATACTTCAAGGAATTTGCACTTCAAGATTTCGTGTTTGTCATTGTAGCACTTTGATCTTGACTTGAATAAATTGTGTTTGTCAATTATCAAAACATGTGAGTCAACACTTAACAACAGAAAAAGGGTTGAACTTATGCATTCCAACATTTCTTTGCGAGACAAAGTCACATGTTTGTTAAATAGTTTTCCAGCGAGTCATTTTACTAGGAATGATGTACATTAAGCTTTTATGAAAGATTATTTTCCACCCTCAGAAGTAACTCAAATTCGGATGTCCATTCAACAAGTTCACCAATGAGGTGGAGAATCTCTTCATGAAGCATTGGAATGTTTTAAGGAGTTAAGAACTAAATGTTCACCCACTTTAATTGGCTTTCATAGTTTAATGTTTCATTTTGATAGTAAAAAAGAGCTTAATTATTTTTCTTCTTGTGGTTCTTTTTTTGAGATTACTCTTGAAGTGAATGGGGAAATGATCAATAAGTTACTTGTAATTCTGATTAATGGTATGATGATCGTACCCTAGTCTCTTTCTCTCAAGGAAGAATCAAAGTTGATGAGGCTATTGCACTTAAAGCTCAAATTGAAACATTAACCATAAAAATAAATAAAAACCTAGAGAAGAATAAAGTTCAAGTAATTCAGGATAGTGTTAATTAAGTTTCGTATAACTCTTATGCCCCTCCATCTCATACTCTGAATTGTCCCATGTGGAAATTGCATGGACTATCTGTTTGTCCTTATGAAGATGAAGTTAATTCTCATTATGTTAATCTCATGGAATACACACGTAAGAATGAGTGAGTTTGGGCTAATGAAAATCATCAATGCCAAAGTAACGTAAACAATAATCTTAATAACCAAAAAAAACTTTGGTAATAATTGGAGAAATGATGGTCCAAATGATAGAAATAATAATAGAAGTAATTCAAGAAATCAAGGAAGCAATTATAACGCCTAGAATTATTTTCAACCGCATGGTAGAAGATGAAACGAGGGTAATAATTCTTCCTTACAAAAAATGAGAGAAATTATAAGTGACATAGAACGTGTTCTTTTGAGTTGAAAAAATTAACTTCCCACTTTTTCAACTACTTCTAGTTTCTTCCAATGATTTAAAAAAATATTTATAAATAAATAACAATATATATTCAAACTTATAAAATACCATCTCAAACATGGACAAAGATGAATTTTTTTAATCCAAAATTAAAATTTTCGTACATATTTATTTAATTGAGTGATTTTTTAAGGCTTTAATTTTTCAGCTCTTAAATATTTTTTTCAACATTCAACTTTAACATTCAACAAGCTCTTAAAGCCCGAAATGTCTAGCATAAAATATAAACTTTGATATGAATTTCAAATAGAATTTCATGGTTTTAACTCAGCAGTCTTGGGTCTAGCTTTGTCTCTACTCTCTAGGTCTATCTTTTATAAGGCGTGGGCTGAGCTCCTGAGATTCTCTAGTTTATCACTCAAAACCACATCATAGCAAGGAATACATTTTGGATAATACTCTCTCCGTCCTTGAGTATTTGTCTACTTTCAACTTTTTTCAATCAAAATTGGTAAATTTTGTCCTCAAATTAAATAAAAATGACATTAGATATTAATACAAAAAGAGTTTTCTTAGATTTATTGCATCAAATATTTTCAAAATATTATTTTACTTTATTAAAATACAATATATATTTTATTTAATTATAAGTCAAAAGTTGGAAACAGTTAACCGAAAAAAGTCAAAACTGGACAAATACTCAGAGACGGAGGCAGTATAAAAGTTTAACTTACAACTGTTTCAAAATTAAAATTTGATGACGGGCAAGCATGAAACTCACCACTCCTTATGTGGCCATCATTCAAGCATCAATTTTACAAAATTATCCCTTTACAACAACATTGAAATTGGCAAAAAGACGCAAAAAGATGTATGCACAACACCGTTAAACCTCAACATCAATGTTGGTTACCTAGCAAAAGAATGGAAGCTAAAAGATCAAAACCTTTCAAGGATAGCTTTTTACACAGTGCATACGACTTACGGCAAGTCTACAATGATGTAGCTTTTGAACCAAATGACCATTGGAGGGACCTGAAATAGCTTTCTTCACTTGATATTTGATATTCTGATTATGCACTTTTAAAATAATAAAATAATATATTTCGGGTACATCGGCTAAGCACCTCATTGGAGTACCTCTGATACATATGATGCAATAGCACACTTTGTAATGGACAATAATGGTAAAAATCACCATGTATCATAATAAATGTGGCCTATCTTAATGCAAACTTTACAACAGTTAACAGGTCTACCAAGAATACACACCCATGTTGAAATGGGTAATTTTCAATTGCACAAAGCATCGTTCAAGAAATTGAGCTACATGAACAAGTGACAATAATAATATACATACACATCTGTTACTCCAAGCGTTCCTTAAAAGCTTGACTGATCAAGGATGTGCCACAAGAATTATAGACCCAAGATCACATGGCGTATTCCTATGCTGCCTAAGAAGCTTTTAGCTGAAGTGAGTATTGTTTTTCTAACCCAATATATAGGGAATATAGTAAATGTACAAACCCAGATCTCCATGCCAGAACGTATAGAAAAATCACAACGATCCCAACCATTGCCTTGTTGCCTTTCCAGTTCCCCTTTATAGCCTTCATTCTGTACAGTATCAACCCGAATCCAGGTGCAAATGAATTGAATCTTGGAATGCCAATTGACCATTTCTTATCCGGATAGCAACAGCAAACACATGATCTTTTAGCTATCAGTATAAAACCACAGTCACTGCAAATTAGCAACATGATACACGCTGATAACCCCTCCATCCATCATGTCTTACAATCAGCTAAAGACACATTCTCAAGATTGACCTCACAGTATCCCATTTAGGACTCTCTGGTAATAGTCATACTGACGAGTCCTCCATGCATCCAAGCTACTGCTAATTAAAGAAAGCACCAAGGACACACATTGCTGGAGACACCATAACAATAATAATCAATTGTGAGCATAAAGAACAATGTAGAAGCATTAAGTTTGTAGAGCATAGAAATCAAACCAGACCTCCTCCGTTAAACTAAGATGAAATCTTTTCCTCAAGTTCTGTATCGTTCTAGGGCCCCCTTTGAAACATGGAAAACCAGAATCCTAGCATAAATCAAACGACAAAGAATATCAGCGAAAAAAATTAGTACAGCTTAAAGTGTATCTACCAGCAATAACTCCCGCTCCCGCACCCAAAAAATATATATCCGAAGTGTTGTTTCATTCAAATTATCTCCTTGGATCATAAACTACATTTTGCCTCATGATTGATTCAGTGGAAGCAAAGATTCACTATTTTTTGGCTATGAGATATGATGGAATAAAGCGAATTGGCTCTCTAAATTGTCTGTGCTTCCTGCAATTGCGAAGTAGCAGTTGGTCAATGCACAACTTTCGACGCTCATCATGGGTCATCTGGAAACAGCCGCTTTATGTTTTAAACATAGGGGTCAGACTGCGTACATCCGACCCCCCCTTACCCCGCAATGGCAAGAGCCGTTGAGGCACTGGGGTAATGTTGTTGTATTGATTCATGCTGCAGCGTTGCACAACAAAGCCAGTCACAAACATGGTAGTATCGTACTCCCTCCCTCCACCATGTTAAAGTGAGGGTAGTTGTGGTAATTTAATTGTTAAAAAAGGTTTGAAAAGATCTTTCCCGGACATAGAAAAAGGGCATTTCGGAAGGATCTTTCTCGGACGGAGGAAGTAATTTATTAAACACCAGAGTCCTTGACAACCACACACAAAAAGTACTAAATCATACAACATATGATTGTCTACCACCCTAAAGAGTGTAAAGAGCTTCACAACATCTCTCACGGGATGTACCAAAAAATTTAAGAATGAAATTGTGGTTAGAATTTGTCAAAAAGATTGAAAAAATATGAAGCGCATATTTCTATCTTTAAGAGTAATGAGAAACCATTTTGGGGAATCCAAAAAGGAAAGTGAGAAAGTGGTTACCGGACGGATGTGTGTAATATTGACATTTGACAATAGTGTTAATGAGCAAGTAAATAGAACTTTTATGTACTAAATTTCGCTATTAATAGCTTAACTGTTACTATTGATAGCTTAACTAAATATAGTAACTTTTTACAAACCAAGAATAATAATATGGCAAGGATCTTTCGACCCGGGACCCAAGGTCATATTATGACCAGGGCACCTACGGTGCTCCGTTGGTAAAATTGATGATAACTACCCCCCCGATAGCCCCTCCCTCCACCCACCCAAGCCCCCCCTCCACCTCTAGATCGCTGATTTGGGCTGCCAAATGGGCAGTCCAAGAAGGGGATTAGGGGATTTAGGGGGGATTAGAAGCGTTAGGATCTATTTATCAACAAAGCACCGTAGGTGTCTCGGGTCATAATATGAGCTTGGTTTCCAAGGTCAAAAGAACCATTGGGATAATAATAATAATAAAACTGATAATAATGATGATGATAAAAATAATAAAATTAACAGTAATGGTAACAAGAACCGTAATAGCAACAGCAACAACAGGAACACTAACACTAAGGGCTTGTTTAGTTGGAGGGAGTGGAGGGAAGGGGAAAGATGGGAGGGAATGGGAAGGAATGGATGAGAGTTTCCTTCACCTTGTTTTTTTGGGGAGGGGAAAGGGGAGATGGATGGAAGATGGAACAGAAAGAAGAAAAACGAAGAGATAGAAGAAAAATAGAAGAGGAAGAAGAAAAAGAATTTGAAAGAAGAAGATTAGAAGAAGACGAAGAAGAAATAGGAAGAATAAGAAAAATAGGAGGATAAAAAGGGAGAAGAAAAAAGGGGACAAAGATGAGGAATAGAAGAGGAAAAAAAGAAATATGAAGAAAAAGAAGGTAAGGACAAATGCACAAGGAGAGGGAGAGAAGAAAATAGAGAAAGAGAAAGGAAGAAGAAAAAAGAAACAGATGCAGGGGGGAGAGAGAGAGACGAAAAAACAGGTAAGGAGAAGGAAGGTGAAAAAACCCCAAATTCGGCTATGAGAAATGTTATACGTTAGTAACACTTAATAAATATATGGACATATATTTATTGGCCAAGTTCGGCCAAAAACCATATTGCCACATTGAGTCATTTGATTTGGCCTTTCGATTAGGGTCATTAGGATCAATCTCTTGTTCAACCGTTCTGCCATAAGTGTATTGTCTAAATCAATTCAAATACACATGTTTTAAAAATAAATATAAACACGCCAGAATATGAAAAATGGAATACAAATAACAAAATATATAAAAAATTTAATCATAAAACATTTTTGCAAAATAATAAAGCACTAAGGGGAAAAACGAATTCTTTTATTTGTACATTCACTGTACTATGAAGAGGAATTGGGAAAAAATCATTACAATAGTACTCCATAATAAAGTACTGTAATTATCCTTACAAAAAGTACTGTAAATATAAAGCATGAAACATAAAATTAAGGCAATGATTAAATTGTATGGGTCGAAAGTTATTTTACTGGAAAAAAATAAAAAATGATGGAGAGAAAGTGACCAGAGAGAGTGAGAAACGCAACGGGGGTGGTATATGCCGAGTTCGGCAAGAGCGGAGGGCTCTTCAAGAGGCAGCAGCAAGAGAGAGCGTGACGGGGGTATGAAGACTGACTGAGGTATGGCTTTTAATTTAAGGGATACGCGATGACTTGCAACTATTTTAAGGGATAGACGATGACACTGACACTGTGGAACAAAAGCCTCTATCATGAAGCTAAATTGGGATATTTATAGGAAAAAGGACATACTTTGGGTGTAGTAGATTCATACAAGGTATCTGAAAAATAAATCAATCTGGCAATATATCCCTGGACCTAACTGATATTTCTATTGGAAACAAATGATCAAAGTTAGGGACCTTTATAAGGATATCCCTAATCATGGGGATTACAACATCCAAGAGGGGTACAGATGGCTACTAAGAAACGATGAAGCTCCCCTGGGGAAGAACTGCGTCCGGAATAGGTGCTTTATTCCTAAAAGCCAGTTCATTATGAGGCTGACTATGAAGGGTAAACTCCTTACTAAGGTTTGATTGAGCAATTTTCTTAATATTGATGTTACTTGTATTCTCTGCCAGATTGGGGCCGAGGAAATCAACCACTTGTTTTGCATTTACCCATTTGTTGCTAAGGTGTATCAGATACTATTCCAATGGATGGGGGTTAGTTTTCAAGCGTCAGATTTGAATGAAATTGGGAAGAACATCAACAGGATCAAGCCTGTGGGGAAAAGAGAGGCTTTTCTGGGGGTTTGGGCTGCTGCTGTATATTATGTGTGGAAACTGGAAAGCTAGGAATGGGAAGATGCATAATAAGGAGATGCAGGTTGATAGTGTCGTTGCTGCTGTGAAACTCCATACAGTGTTTTTATTTCATAAAAACTATACCTTTGAAGCTTGATATGCTAGAATTGTTTGTTTGATTACACAGGTCGGTGGTGAATAAAATCTAGTACTTTCGGTTTAAAAAAACAATAACAATAATAATAATTATTATAATAATAATAATTATAATATTAATAAAAGTAATAATTGAGAAACAGAGCTTCTCCATTGGCCTGACTGGTAAAAAGCCCACTCTCCAAGATTCAGGGGGAAGCTCACACAGGCTCAAGTCCTAGCGGAGGCAGAGGCATTGGCTCCTTGTGCGTCACTATTAGGTTGAGAAAGCATAAATAGATACTACATTGTACTTGAGTCAATAGAACTCAAACAACAATAGTAATTGAGAACAATATTCCTTTCAATGCAGCAAATTAAGAGTTACAAAGTTATGATTATTGAGTCCATTAGGGAGTATGGAAAGCAAAAAAGGAGACAAGGAAGCTTAAGCAAAAAGTTTTTGAGTTATCATGAATTGCGGGTACCCCTTCTTGAAAGAGCAAAAAAAGAGACAGAAGCTTAGAGAAAAACATGAAACTTCTTGGAATGAAAGAAGATGGGTGTACATTAATGTCAGATTCATGGACAAATAAAGTTTTTTGTGATAATCCAGAGAGCACATTTTCATGGATTCTGCGATGCGTCTCATGAATCCCAAGATGCAACTTTGTAGCTGGCTTACTTGAGAAAACATTGACAAAATCAATAAGAACAGAGCCACTCATATTGTAATAGACAACTTTTAATTACAAAGCGGCAAGCGAAAGGCTACAGGTTTGAATACACACTGTTTAGGACTCCTTGTGATGCACATTGCATTGACCTCATGTTGGAAGATATTGGAAAGGTGCCCAACTTCAAATCTACCATTGGAACAGCTAGACGTGTCACAACTTTAAATTTATTATCATGGAAAAGTTCTCGACGCAATGCGATAGAAGTTAAATGGTAGAAACCTAGTGAAACCTAAGGTTTCTAGATATGCAACGACATTCCTTTGCAATGTCTTTTTATAACTTAAAAGATGAATTGAAAGTATTATTTGCTCGTGAAGATTGGAGTAGATCAAGATTAGTGGCAACGGACATAAGGAAGAAAGTGACATTGTATTCTCTTCTACTTTAGCGGCTTCGTTTTTAAATCCTTCAAAATATTTGGATCTCAAGCAAAAAAAGATGTTGCTTCTCATCATAAAATGATTTCATTGATCTGCTAGAAGCGATTATACATAGTGTCTTTACATGGAAAAATAATTGATCAAAAGACCCAAAACGGCAAAATGCGAGGGAATTTTGGAAAACAACTACCAATTAGCCAACAAAAGATAAAAAGTCGACGTACGTACATCCATTAATTCCAATTAAATTAAATAATCTTATAACACTAAGTCTTAATTCTTTGTGGCTTGTAGTTGATTGGTGGGATGCATTTGGATGATTTACTATCGAGTTCCAAGCACTTGTGAAGCGTATCATTGTAGTTTGTTGTACTTCATCTGGAAGTGAGCGTAATTGGAGCATGTTCACACTAGTAAGTAAATTAGTATCAAGTTCTAATTAAAACACAAAATAATTGCTGAAAATTAACTAACAATTATTTTTTATTTTGTTTAGATCTACACCAAAAACGGACATGAGTTGGAGTATAAAAGGTTGAATGCCATGGTATTCATTCAATACAATCAAAAGATTGCAACAAGGTTTCAAAAGCATCGAGAACATGGAATAACTTCTTAAATATTACTCCCTCTGTCCACAAATTTACTTCCCAGTTAGACCAGGCATGGGTATTAAGAAAAGTTAAAATTTGCGTTGACTTTCCTAAAATGCCCCGTCTACACTTCTCTCCTTTTTCGTGCAAAATACTCTGGCAGCGACAGGAAGGCAATTCAATGACCGGCAAGGCAAAGTACCGACCGGCAGGGAAGGCTAGGCAGCGACCTGCGAGGAAGGTGAGGGAGTAACCGACGAGGAAGGTGAGGCAGTAACCGACGAGGAAGGCTAGGCAAGTGGCAATGGAAAGGAAGGCAAGATGACCACGACAACGAGCTCAGAATCCGAACTGGCACCGCTTGTTCACCGGAATTAATGGTGGCAGCGCTAGTTCACCATAATTAACAGCAACGAGTGCTGATTCTGAAGTTCTAGAACAGCCCCGTGCTCGCCAACGAACATCCATGATCTTTGGATCTTAAGTTTGGGTCTCATGTTCATGAAGCTCTGGATATTATGCAAGCCTCGAAATAGTGGAATAGCTTTAGATCCACGGTCTTTAGATCTGGAAATTTGGTCTTCTAGAACACATCGAATGCTTCGAAGATTTGGGTGAGACCATGATACGGGGACGAAGCAAGAGATCTGAAGGGTCTTTCATTCAAAGTGAGAGAGAGGAAGCTTAGATCGAGAAAGAGAGAGAGAGAGAGAGAGAGAGAGAGAGAGAGAGAGAGGAAGCTTAAATGTGATGAGCATTTGCATTGGACAAAGATTTGGGGGAAGAAGTGGAATTGAGGGTAATTAGAACATGTAATATTAAAAATTATGCTAAAAACGAAAATGGGAAGAAAATTTATGGATGGACAAATAAGAAAAGTGGGAAGAAAATTTATAGACGGAGGGAGTCTCTAACAATTACTTTTTGATTTTGTTTAGATCCACACCAAAAAAAGAAATCAGTTGGAGCATAAAAGGTTGAAAGACATGGTATTCATTCAATACAATCACAAGATAGCAACAAGGTTTCCAAAATATCGAGAACAGGAAAATGATTTTCATCCTATGATGTTTGAGGATTTTCAGTGGGATAATGAATGGACTAGCAATGATGTTCATCCAGACCAACATCTTTTGTAGATATCCGTTGATGAAGCTTTGGGTGCTTCTAGCAATCTTGAAGGGCGCAATGTCCTGAAGAAAGGTTTTAGTAGTAAAGCTACTCAAGATACAAGTTCTCATCACTGACGCCAAAGGTCTACTTGACTTACAAAAGGATGGATTGATCAAGATTCACAAGATGAAGAAGTAGGCGTTTCCACATGATGATGAAGATGTGAGAGATGACTTTGGACAACTGCCACCTCCTCCTCATAACAATGGTGACAATGCAAGAAATGACACTATTTTCAATGCTAGCTTCCTTAATGACTTCAGAAACTTTGTTTCATATTTTCTTTCATATGGATACTAAACATTGCTAAACATGAACTTTAAAGTTTATGAACTAAATTACAGTGGGATCATCACCGTGACAACTATGGTACACCTGCCCCTTCCCAGACCCCATTGTGGGGTCTTATGGGTTATTCTGTTCCAATAGCCACATGACGTTTCTATACTTGTGCCTCCAAGTACTACCAATGTTATATGACCTCACATTCCAAACTTCTCAAACCAATGTAATATGACCACACATTCAAAACATCTCTCAATGGAAAGTTAAAGCAAAAGAATCCTTGAAATTACCTGTAACATCTCAACAAGAAGAATGACACGTTCAGCATGTTTACGGCACGTCAAGAAGCCTTGAATACAAAGAACCTGTAGATAAAAGTCAAAATACAAGCAACAATATGCCAACAATAAAAAATGTAGTTAATTGACATGTAATGTTATTAAATTTAAACATAGAGAAAACAATATGAAGAGATATGTTACCTTGAAATAATCGAAGAACTCACTTGGAACCCCCTCTGCATCAGAATCCATGACCTGTGTTAACATTCATGGAAAAAATAATTTTCAAGAGCTACTAGAATAGAATGCCAGATATAATACAAAAAACTTGAGCTCTACATATAATGGCCAACCTCAAGAAGTTCACGAGTTAACTTAAATGGTGCACTCTCAAAATTTACACCCCCAGGTGAATTGGAGAGCATAAAGCCAAAATCAATGTGAATAATATGACCTTCTTCATCCAACAACAGATTCCCGTTATGTCTATCTTTCACCTACGCAAAAACAAGAACATGAGAAGATAATAATGCAATACCTATTAGTCACTGCTCATTTGAGCTTATATAATTTTGAAAAATGAAAAAAAAAACATTCCACACACATCAAAACACACACACACATATATATATAACAGTGACAAAGAGATAGCCAACCAATACTTGAACAAGATATGTTTATTCGTAAAGTAATGCACCGCATTTGGGAAGCACCATTATTAGTTACTCCCTTTGTCCAGAAGAGTTGTCCACTTACTCAAAAAATTTACTCCCTCCGTCCCAGAATTATCTTCCGGATTGCTTTTTATTGGTCAAAAGTTTCTAACTTTGACCATAAACTATGAAAAAATATATTGAGTTATGATATAAATTTAATATCAATAGATTCATTTTGAAATAAAGTTCTAAAATATCATATTTTTATAATATAAATTTTAGATAAATAAAGATATTAATGGTCAAAGTAGTGCATTGGAGACCGTGAAAAAACAAAGAGGAAGAAAATTATGGGACGGAGGGAGTAACTGAGTTCAAAATGTCATATAAATCCTTCATATAAGTTTCTTGCTCATTCATGTCAACAATGATTATATTCTATCTTTATGATATTTTAGATAACTCATCATAATTTCGTTGTTGAATATGTAAAGTTGACAACTAATTCTGAACAAACAAAAAAAAGAAAGTGGACAACTAAATCCAGAGGGATGGAGTACATACTAGAGGGAGGGGGTGGGAATGGACAGGATCTGACCTGCAGGAGGTAGCAAACCAGTGAATATCCAGCCATGCTTTCGACAAAGTTTCTCTGCACGAGAGATTGTGAAACATAAATGCAAACGGTAACATTCAGAGCTAAGAAACCAGACTTCTGGCTTTCTGTACTAGGAGAAATTTAAAACTAAAACAAATGTATCTGCCTTCCGTTATGAACATAAATGAATATTATTTGTACCATACTACTCCCTATGTCCAAAAATATTCTTACTTTCCTTTTTAGGTTTTCCCAAAATAAAATTCCCATTCCTTTACACTATGTTTGGTTCAAGGAACTTGAGAGGGAAAGGAAAAGAAAATGAAAAGGAAAACATTTTTCTCTTTTGGTTAGAGAGGAAAAGAAAGAAAAGTGGAAGGAAAAGAAAAGGAGAAGACAAAAAGTACTAAAAGGAGGAAAAACCAAATTCCTCTCATTTTGGTGAGGAAAATGAGGGAAAACTATTTTCTTTCCTTTCAAATTCCTTGAACCAAACATAGTGATAATGAATTGGGTGGTCCAATTAATCTACGTGAAAGTCAAACCTGGAAATTTATTAAGGGACGAAGAGATTAGTATACTAACATTGAGTAGAGAATTTTTTTAAGCACAGAGTTACAATCAAATGGCCACTAGACATATCATAGAATGTACAACAATATAATTGTTTCTACTTTCTAATACTCCTTCCATCTCGAGAAAAGTTTCCACATTTCCTTTTTTGTTTGCCCAATAATAAACTGATACTTTCCTTTTATAGAAATGATTACATCATTTCTATCTCCAATTCACTACCACTCAAATTCCACCTTTCTTAATAACAACACCCGATCAAATGTGGAACCATGAGTATGTAAATAATATCCTTTCTTAGTTCCATGTATAAAGGCAGTTGTTATTACAGAAAGCAAACCGTTCACAAGAACTCATGAAGGTTAAGTTCGTTAATTTCCTATATTTGAGAGAATAAGTATCGAATGATTGTAGAGACAATATTGAGAATTATTTATCCTAATTTAATATTCCTGGTCAGAGCCGAAAACTATTGCAACTTCGAACCCACCAAAAAAGGGAAGTCTCATTTCTTATCAACTTGTTGCACTGTACCAACCTTAATGGGGACAGAATATGGTATTAGGCTACACCTACTTCAAAATAATAGAACTTGCATTGATGTTCTTGTAGTTTTACACCAGATATCAAAATCAATGTACTTCTAGGTAAACTTTGTGTGTTTAAATAATATACCAGAATAACTATACACAAAGTCTTTATTTTTCTCTTACATGCAATTACATATGTCTATTTTTCTCTTACATGCAATTATAGAAAGAATGCGACAAGGTTACTTTCTGTCCTCTGAATGGCAGTCTGCAAGATTTCAAAATGAGCAGAAAGAGACAAGTTGATTGAGTTAATTGCGCCAAACAAGCAGTAGAGGACATTTGCTGGGTGGAGTGTTATCAGACAGCACGGGTCTATTCGTCCAAGGCTGAAAGATTCAGACTTGGGCTGTGTTCAACCTTTTGGAACCGAGTGGTTTTCTCATTTTAAGGGTTTAATTGTAGTTGGTCTTCATCTTGTACTGCGAATTTGGGCCTTTTGCTTTTATCCTTTCTATTAATAAAATTTCATTATATATAAATAACCCATACCTTTTCCATTTGAAAATGATTAAAAAAAGGGTTGCGGAAAGCACATTCATGATAAAAGGGGATAGAAGTATCTAGCACAATAATTCATTAGACTAATAACAACCAAGTATAATCCCACAAGTGGGGTCCTAGGAGTGTACACCAGACCATACTCCGTGTCCGGGGAAGGTGAGTGTACACTGTACACAGACCTTACTCCGGGTCCATGGAGGGTGAGTAGTGTGCACAGATGTTACTCCTACCTAAGAGGTTGAGAGACTGCTTCTGGAAGACACCGATTCAAAGAAGAGAACAGAATAGAAAACACTGATTAGTAGGTTCCAACAAATAAAGGCATGAAAAAAAATAAGGACGGAGGATAGGAGAAAGTCAACAGAAAGGCCACAAACCTCGCACAAAATAGGGCCTGACTTACCCTGAAACCCTACACACAGCTAATGGATCCTATCTATATCATCCTATCCTAACACTTCTGTCCTCAACCTTCAAGTCCAACAGGCTCCTATCTACCGTCATGCCACCGTTAGACCAATAACATCATTAGACACCACATCATGTTCAGTAATAAAGATTCTCAGGAAAATCCATTTGAAATTGAATATCAACACCAACTAAAGAGCCATTACCTGGGCAAGCTTAAAAGTTGGAGAATTTTCTTGATATTTGGCAACAAAAAAGTCACGTAGACTTGTAATATTAGAATATCTACTTTTGATAGAATGAAGTGAGGCCTGCAAAAATGTTAATACATATCCCCATGAGATGCAAAACAAATTCAAAAAGCATTAAGGACCGTTTGGTGAGCGCGGGAGATATGTGTTCTTATATCTCCCGATATCAGAACCCTAAACAAGGTTTGGATTTGATTTCTCCCAATATCACAACCCTCCCAAAATAAGGAAGTTTTGATGTCCCCCAAATTTGGGAGACATGAATATGGGGTTTGAACATCTCCCTTGACCACTAGCCACCGCTGCCAGCAACCCACCCGCACTGTCCATTCACTGTTCCCGGACAAACACCGATGCCAGCCATCTCCCGCCTATCACTAACAACTATTTCTCAAATCTCTCCAAACACTTTCATTTTATATTTTAGAAACCATATCATTTCTATCAGATTTCAGAACTCATATCATATCAACCCTCCAAAACTCACCAAAGACCAAACGGACCCTAAGTGTTCTTAAAAGAGAAACAACAACAATAATTATAACAAAGTGATGTGCAAAATTACCGTATCTGGAATAGTTTCAATCAGTGCCGTGTACGATGATGTAACAAGGACTTCATATGGCCGCAACCAGAGAGGAAGACCAGCCTCCTGGAATATATCTGACAATTGTAAATTCCAAAAATATGTAAACAACTAAACAATGATCGAGCAAGAGTCTTCCAATAAAGCAAAACAGTACCAGATGATGTACCCTTGTACCAGATTAACCTTTCTACGTGTGGTAACGAGTTAGAGTAAAATGAGAAAGAAAACATGTGAAGAAAGACAAGGAAAAAAACATTGTTAATCCTCTCAAATTGCAAAATCAGAAGGCTTTGACCTAATTAAAGCGATACTGCAAAGGGGCTTTTTGATAGAGCCGGATGAAATTGAATTGAACCTAACTAAATGGTATTCAAAACTGAACTAAATGATAATGAGTTGAACTCATTGTAGGGTAATTTTGAACTACACAATATTGAGCTAAAATGAACTGTAGTGAAAAAATTTCCAACTGAGCGGCCAATAAGTGTAATAAATTTGCAAAGTTAAAAGAGCATTCCATTTTGAGGAAATATTTTGTTCTGTACAAACGCTCATAGATTAAACATAGAAATGGTAGACAAAAGTCATTTAGTCATGCAAGCAGTTTGGACCCAAAAGGACAAGACACATACATGCGAAAATGTGACACGTGTATGACCAAACTATGTTATTAAAGAACAATGAAGCAAAATACAATGTGTCACATACTCACCTATTGAAAAAAACCCGATATTAACACATGAAGCAAGGTGTCACATACTCACCTTTCAAATTCTGATATTAATGAATGTCTATCTAATTAATAGAAGTTTTTGAAAACAAATCAAACAGCGTAACTACTGCAAGTACTTAATTGAAATTTTTGATCTGGACTAAACATTTTACAGATTATATAACCCACATTTTAAAATCTTTGGTAAGGCGATTGATTAACTGTTCAACATTTTTTAACTTACCTCATCCTGTAATCAATATGTAATTCAAATATGATTATAGAATATGAGCATGATGTTCAGTTTTATCAAGTCGGCCTTGAATGTGCTTTTTTAAAAGTTTAAATGCTGGCATTCAGCAAGGTAAGCAAAAACCTGGAAAAAATAAAAAGAAATATTCCTTTAACTTTGACCCCCCCAATGTGGTTCAAATGTATCGAAATAGATAGCCTCTCTTGTAGAAATTTCTTTTCCTATAATTTTATGAATGCTAAAATTCACTGACAATACAATTCCATAAATGACAATGGTGGGTGATAACTGATAAAGACAACCTATTGAAAAGTATAGATTAGATAAAAATAAATCACTAATTGATATTGGGAAAGATAATAAAATAACCTCAAAATACAGGATCATAGAGTTGCCTACCATAAAAGTGGGATATAAGTTGAACAGCAAGATGTTCCTGTCTACAGTCATCACCACTCTTTACAATTGCCTGTTTCAAAACAGAAGGGGCAAATGTAACGTGCTAACAGCAATAGAAAGAGGCACAATATTGACTTTATATAATAGGGTTGTCAAACCAGGAAACCATAGGGAAAAGCTGAACACAATGAGAAATCCACAAATTAAAGTAGACAAGGGTCTAACAAGTAACAAAAACAGCCTGCATCAAATGGCACAATGAGCATCCTTCGTTTCTTACTTTCGATTAAGCTTTAGGTAGTACATGTCACAATGCATCAAGGGTCTAACAAAAACAGCCTCTTAGTGTTTTGCAAGGGTATGGTTGTGTACATCTTGGCCCCCAGACCGGCTAACCCCTACGTCAGTGGGGATCTTTTGACACCCACCTTTTGTGTCATAATATGACACCGGCCCATTTGGCAGCCCTACGGTGCTCCGTTGGGCCCCGAAGTGGACCCCCTCCAAAAAAACTCCCACAAACCCAGCAAGACACCCAAGGTGGGTGTCAAAAAACTCCACGCTTTTTATATACTAGTCATACTCAAATATAAAAAGTATATTGAATGAACAGAAGCGTGAAGCATCACAAGGTCAAAAATTATGATCTTAACAAAGTATTAACTTACAGAGAGTAGGTCCCAACCAGGTTGTTTCCCATATGCAGAGGCTTGGCGTATTCTCTCCTTCTTTACCTCCCATAGTTCACCGGATAGTGCATCACATGCATTAGGAAGACCACCATTACAAACCTGGTTTTAGCTCAGCTCATTATCTACAATACTTGAATCACTTTTATTCACCTTCCAGAAAGACATAATTACAAGTCTTCACCTTTGGCTGCGCATCGGAATCCTGACCAGCCCCTTTCAAAGGGAGTCCAGGAGGTGCTTCTCCTTTTAATGCTGCTGCCTGCAACAGGAAATATGCGCAAAGCTCATTACATAGGAACAAGATCAGAATGACACTTGCTAGCATTAAATAGCCATATATCTTTAAGAAGAATTATGCAAAGCAATAAAATAACATAAAATTGAAAATGAGCATAGTAAATCTAAAGAACAGAACCCTAGAGTAACTCTAGAATATCCAGGGGAAAGTCATGAATAAATCAAACAACAATTCCATTCACGGAAAAAGATTCTACTATTTTAGCATGTTATCACATTTTTCAATTTTGAGTGCACTCCTTATGTCAGGCCCAAATATGGGAAGCGTAATTCACTCACTACATAATCCAATATGTAGTTAAAAATCAGATGTTTTGGAAGAGTCTTGCGGAACAGCCTCTCTGTTGTTTTGTTGTAGTTAGGAGACAACTTCTACTGCGAAACCTGCTTCATGAAATATTATTGTAAAATTACAAAAATAGCAAGTGGCTCTAGTGACAATGTGGTACCTAATGCTTAGTCCTCACCAGGGTTGTTATTTAGTTGACTAGTCACTGACTAGTAGAAGAAGAGCGACTTGGAAGAGGAGCAACTTGGCTCTACGGACTAGCGACTTGATCTGTTTGGTTAGTCCAGTCATCGAATTTTGTGCCGTTCAGTTAACTAGCATTAACAATGTCTTAGCTTAAGGTAAATAATGGACTAAATCATAATGGCACATTTTCCTTCGCTTTTTACTGTCAATGAACATTTGGGTATCAAATGCAGCAATGCATAAAGGATCTAACTGAAACTGCCTAAACAGGGTGAGGCTAGTGTGCATATTAAGGGTATGACTGTCTACATATTGTACTCCATACCCTAACAGGATCAGAATTAAATTGTGTTGTTGTTCGCTAGCAGTAACAATCTCACTTAAGCACCTTCTGCTTATAGATTTGAACAATCACCACATAAATGACCAACTATTTAAACTAGTGGTTTCCCTGGTATTTGTACCAGGTATGAGTTTGGGGAATGTAAACTCATACCCTCTTGTTTGAGTACACAAAAAAAAATCATAGCACTCATTCCTTAAACCCTCCTCAAACCCATACCCAATACCACAATCCCTTCTGATTTGGCAACAATTTCTGGGAAATACGAAAACCAGGTTCAGATCATTAGAATGACTTTCCTATGTCAGCTAATGAATTGTGATCGAAACATTAGAACATCATTTTCAAAATCAAACCAAGCAGCTGATTTCATCAATCAACTAAACTCATACCATCTCAAATTCTCAGTCTCATTCTTTATTCCAACCCAACGCCTACATTTAAACCACCACCACCACCCTGTCCCCCGCCCAATGAAATCATTGCATATAAATTAATAATATACTCGAGTAAATGAGGAAGGCAATCAAACGATTGCGTTCAAAAGACAATCTCACTATGTGTAGTCACATGTAATTCTACTACGAAATACGAATACATCAAAAGTTTGTCTCACAGTAGAACACTTTTCCATTTGGTAACGGCCCAACCCATTATTGGAGCATATTGATATTTAGGCCCAAAAATGGCCGCCCGTAAGCCTGTTTTGCTTTATTTTTCCCAACAATCCGCCACATGAATGAAAATTAATTTAGAGGTCATCCCCCATATGGATTTTAAAATATTATTTAGAAGAAGCCAGATACTGGTGTCGTTCCCATTTCACACCAATCGCAATTTAGAATGAGACTTAGTGCTGAACAGATTAGCATTTAGCAAATGCGCGTACATGATTGAGGGGGGAACAAATGCAAGATAGGTCACCTTAACTTCCTCAATAGCTACAGTACTTGGAACGCGGCGATGCTCCTTCCGACGTGGTGGTTCCTGATCCACTATATCATCCATATTAACACCAGGCTCTGATGTCAAAGTAACCCTCACCCATTCGAAGCCACAGCCATCCATTGAATTTTGATATGCTCCAACCTCTTTCTTTTGGTCACAAAAACCAGATATGCTGTCTGATTGCATCTCTACAGAGAGATTGATTCGAACAAATTTGACTTTAGCCTCCCATAACTGGGTCATTGCTTGGTCTATTGCTTGTGAAGTAGATCTTGACATCCTATCATAACCACTGTGGTATGTATCATGTCCCGTCCACAAAGGGCATGCCCAAGGTGGTGGTTTTGGCAATAAAGCATCTCCATTTGCAAGGGGAATCCCTCCCTTCGAAAGCTTTTGCATATTTGGAGCATCTTTAAAACTGCTAGTCACCCAAACAATGAAAAAAGTATGTCAAAATTAAACTGCACATACACAGAGCCAGGTACTTCAAAAAAAGTAAAGGTGCATGCCTACTTTACATAGTTAATAGGTGTTTACCTAGGAGTGTCACACTTTAAAACTTCAACGCAAATCAAGTAAGGTGCCTTTTCCCTAGAATTCAAGAGAACGGCTTCATCTTCGGGTATATGAACAACACGATACATTCCCTTTCCCATGGGGAAACATACACCTGCAACATAACCCAAGAAAAAATAGAATGAGAGGATGCAACAAAAACTGCTGCACATGGTGAATGAATTAACCTAATATGCTCTATCAATTATTCCCTTTGTCTATCTTTGTAAGATACATAAATCACACATTGCTTAATCCAATTCATTTTTTGCTTAATTTATCTAACTAGTTTTATTAATTTCAAAATCAGTTTTTAGCTATCCATATAACTTTCTAATGAGGTTTGATATCTAAATTTAATTAATGAAACTAAATCAATGCAAAAAAATGAAATTGTAAATAGCTTAAGTTAAGAGTCTTTATCCACGCATATATATATATATATATATATATATATATATATATATATATTAGGATGAAGAAAGTAAACAAATGAAAATATATTAGAAGGATTAAAATAAATGACAAATAACTTGATAGCAACTAGCAAATAAATCCAAATGGCTTGATATGATGAAGTATCTACGTGATCTCAACATCAATTGTTAACCTGATAAAATGCAACATAATCCTAAATAATATATCCCTGCAAGATCTTTGTCTCTTTGATGACAACTCTATTTTCCCTGTCCACTTTACAGATACGTTGTTCAGAGATAGAATGCTCCCTCATTGTCAATGGCAATGGGTATTGAAATGACTAGTACGGTATCACACAGCACACCACACCACGTGATAGGAACTACAGTGAATGCTAAGGGAAAAGAAAAGAGGGAGATAAATAAAACCTTAGGAAACTATTCTGTGTAGATTTTGATAAATTTGCCCCAGTTCATACTTAAATTAAAGAATTGAAGAATAGAAAGTTAAAAATTAACAGAAACAGAAGCAGTGCACCCTCAATGAAGAAAGCCCAATACTCTGAAGCCTGGAGGAACTCAGACAATAATTAAGGGATTTTATGCTAAAAAGGTATTAAAAAACATACCTCCATTATTTTGAGCAGCAACTAAATGCGCATTGATTTCAGCAAGGGACTAGAATTACAAACACCGTCAGTGATATTGCTACTAAAAAAACAAATCAAAAAAACATAAAAGTGGTACTGCATAGAACAACCTCACAGAGAGCACTTTTGCGATCTTCAATTGGAAAAATATCTACCAACCCATAAGAAGTATCACATAATGATTGCACGAAATCAAGGGACTCATGGTATGCCCCTTTCCTTATTTGTGATACACCACTATTTGGGAGTGGAGGCTTAGAAGTTGGCTTATCATGCTGTTTTGGGGAGCCAGGGCGCTTCTGCCAAATTAAACAACCACAATTATATGAAGAAAAAAATAGTTCACTTTATTGTTTAATAACCAAGATCTAATGTGTAAAATATATATGGAAATATAAGATGTACCAATACAAGAATTCAGAATCTTGGCATAAAGAACTAATGGCGCAATGCATCAAACTACTTTACTGCTGCTAGTTAAAGATTTTATAATAGGTTAAATGAGTAGATTTATTCTAGAGTCACAGTACAATAGCCACAAAACACTATTGATAATAATGGATGTTACTGTAAGTTAAATTATTGACATACTTGTGGCCAATACCAAGTTTATAACTACACACAGTCACACATCAAATATGCAGAGAAATGCATGTGATTAATGAGAATAAGATTAGCTAATATTCTTCTCTCGATTTTAAAACTTCAAGTACTTATTAAGCATGTAATTAAGGAGAATAACACGTAGTATTTGCTAATATCATTCTCTTAAATTAAACATAAAATTCCTTTCTCAATCATTCATGTCAATATGGCTACAGATCTAAAGGATGCACAATGAAAGGCATGGATAATAAAATAGTTCTAACATATACTACCTCCGTCTGGAAACATTCTTCCCACTTTCCTTTTTTGGCCGTCCTAAAATATTTTTACCATTTTCTTATTTGGCAAATTATTTTATGTTAAATGTCATATTTACGGATTTACCCTTTCTCATCCACCCAAATTTATTCTCCACCCAGTGTCTTCTTCTTCCTTTTCTCTAGCTGTCCAACCCACTTCACGCCTCGTTCTTCTTCTTCCCACCCCACCCAACTGTAGATCTAAGTTCACTACATTTCTTCTTCTTCCTTCGGCTTCATCGCCGTTGCCGACGTCCATGGAGGAGGAGATGCAAAAGGAGCTGGTCACCTCAATAGCAGGAGCCGCGCCTGGAGGTGTAGAAAACGGGGGTGATGAAGGCTACGGTAAGATCTAGTTCACCATTGATAAGATCTCTCTCGGTGATTAGGCGGCGGCGGTGGTGAACTAAATCTGACTAGGCGGCAATGACGAAGATTAGGTTTGTCGCAGGGAACTACATCTTCAACATCTCATCTCTTCAATATTGCACAAACCTTAAACACCAAAGGCTTATACATAGGTTATCAGATTATAGCCTTACAGTGGAAACTCCCCAAAGAAGCCAAGAGGTGAGCCTTAAGGCCCATAGGGGGAAGATAATTTCAAACATTGATTACAAAAAGGAATGAAGTTGTGACGTATATGATTGAGAATTGTCACAAAATTAAAAGAGATGAAAAAAGGGTGTAACGTAACAGTAGAACAAGCACTAGAGGCATGGGGTGAGGTCACCTATGAAGGCAAGGTGAAAAAAGGTGTGAGTGGCAGAGGAATTCCTAGTGCTCTAGGCACAAGCCTCTTGTACAAGACCTCTAGAATATGAAGCTCAAGCCTTGACAAACAAAATAAGCACAAGTTAATCACTCCATCCCTCCTAAATATATTGTCGTACTAAGGATAACGAGGCTTGACTGAGTTTATTTTTCAATTCAAGTTATTTAAATAATGGTACAAAATTTCAAAATAAAATTTACAAATTAAAAAATCAAATGCAGGATAAAACAAGAGGTGAAATGACTATGCTATTTTAACAAATGATTAACGAAAATAAGTAAAGAAAGTAGAAAACGTTTGACCGCTAAATAGTGGAGTGGGACAATTAATTCGGGGGGGAGGGAGTAGTTAACTAATCAAAGCTTCAATTAATTATCTAAACATAAGTTTACTATCAGCAAAGTTGTTCATTTTTTTCAAATTAAACTTAAATACATTGAGTCTAATAGCAAGTCCATATGACACTTGCAAGCATTGGCAAAGAGAGTTGCTCATTTTTTTCAAATTTTGTTTTCCTTATTCTATTTTTTCCTTATCTTTACAATCTACAAAGTATTCCCATATTTGAGCACAAAGGAAAACTAGGACCTATATAAGGAAATTTTGAAGATAAACAGTTTGCCAACCTCTTTGTTCTTTTTTGAAGCAAAAAGCTCAGAATCTTCTACTGAGCGTTCACGGTCCTTAAAGAGCTTACGGAAAAAATTCTCAGTTCCGGGACTGCTCTCATGCAAAATACTGCTAATACTACTTTCATTAGCTGTTGCCACTTGGGATTCCTCGGGATGCACACGAAACAAACGTCGGAACAATGAAAAATCAGAAGGATCTTCCTCCTCTGCATTTACATGGTCCCTTACATCCTCATTAATCTTTCCATTCCCATCTCTTTTGTCCTCAAATTTCTCTTTGAAGATTTTTTTGAAAAACCCTTCTTTGTCATCATCTTCAGAAACCTTCTTTGCCTTTTCCTCATTATCATTTCTCTCACTTCCAAACTTCTTGTCCTCAGATTTCTCCCTGAAAAGTTTCCGGAAAAAACCCTCACTTTCATCATCCTCAATAGATTTTGAGTTTGATTTGTCATCCACATCATTTTTGCTGTCACGAAATAAACGTTTAAAAAATCCATCGGTGCTGATGGTAACTTCATCCTCATCCTTACTGGTACTCAAAAGCCTTCGAAAGAATCCATTCTTTTCTGACTCCTCTTCATCTTTATCAATGGATTTGTTACAATCTTCAACTCTACTGTTACTCAAAAGCCTTCGGAAAAAACCATCCTTCTCTAACTCGTCATCATATTTCCCTGGCAATTTCTTACTATCCTCATCTCGACTATCCCTTAGCAGCCTCTTAAAAAAACTGTCCTTCTCAGATTCCTCGTCATCTTTATCTACTGGTGTTTTCCTGCTGGCATCATCTTTACTATCCCTCAAAAGCCTCTTAAGAAAACTGTCCTTATCTGGGCTCTCGTCTTCCTTTTCTACCGACTTTCTAAAGAGCAAAGCGTCTCGTACTTTTGGTCCTGGTATCAGCTTTTTAAGTATCTTATTCTCCTCGGGAGTTGATGCTTTGCTCCCACCATTTTCATCCTGTTGAGAATGACTTCCTGAACTGGGTGAAAATGACAGTGACCTCTGTGTGGTCGGAGGAGAAGACGCCAATGATAACAGCCTTTGCTTGGATGACAGTAATTTATTAAGCATCTGGTTCTTTCCTGTGGGACTTGAGGTTGGAGCATTAGGTGGCTTTATCAAGGGCGGCCACTCCCCCATCAGGGTAGCAGCAGTCTGACACTTCTCCTGGATTCTACTGATGCCCTCGTTATCATCGATGTCCTCCAACTCAGCCATCAGAAACCAATGCACTTTGAGCGCAATCTGAAGTGATTTAGTGCACATGTCGATCACAAATTTATCCAGTGAGGGGCTGGGCTTGTGCACCATCATGTAGCAAATCTGGAACATGTAGCTCTCTATGCCTGAGAGTGGCAGCGTGTACATCCTGTTGCAGAGATAGTCCCGAACACCAGGGTGGTCATGCTTGTAGAGATAGCTCACAGCGATCCACTCACAGAAGAAGGAGGAATCGAAGAAGCGGATGAGCCACCCGCTTTCCCCGATAGACTCGCTAGTAGGAATACTTCGCGTGATCTCCCGGGGCTCAGCTGGCTCTCCTCTCGTCAAACCTAATAGCCTCGCCATTGTCACACCACCATCCCTTCACAAAACCCTCAACTAACCCTAGTTTACCTTCCCCTGTGCAATGCACACATTCACGTAAAACTAACAATTTCCAAATAAATAAATAACAAAAAATGAAACCCTAGCGAGCCTCGAACACTGTAACTCCCCTTGACCAACTGAATAGAAACAACTGCAACGAAAATAGAGGAGTGTGCAGCCGGAAACTTCAAAAATCTCTTATTAGAATTCTCTCTGGAAATATATCCGGTGGAAATGAGGAATCGGAGTCCGGGATCGGCGAGTTCAACGGAGAAGACCACAGTATCCGTCAAGACAGGCAGGTACGACGTCGTCTTCTTTTGTCCAGATTCCCGAGATTATAGTACTCCCCTACATGGGTAGGGTTCTTTTTAATTTATTTTTTCAGTTTATTAGTATTATTCTTATTAAAATTGGATTTGATCCAATCAAATTATACCAGATTCAATCAGATTTGTTATTATTATGACTATAATTATTAGAAAAGACACCAGTATTGTCATATCTTGATTTTAAAATAAATGAATTGGGGAAAGAAAAGACTAAAATGGTTTGATAGTATTATTCATACCAACAAGATGCATCTTCATTTCGAGAGCTAATCACTCAAAATGTCAAAGTGAAGCGTGCTTGACTTGGAGCAATTCTAGGATGGGTGACCCCTGGGAAATTTCCCACGAGTGAGGATAAAGTGTGCGGGAAAAGCTTGTGTTGATTTGTGAAGTTAATCTACTATCTTACGAGCGGACGCTTACGGCCAAAGTGGGGGCCAGAGTGTTACAAGTATAGATAAGACGTGTCTAGCTAACATTTCGAGTGACGGGAACATGTGCTCATTTGGTCGAACTCATTCTCGTTCTCTTCGTCTTAGTCACACTAGTATCACACCCGTGCGTTGCACAGGTCGCAATTACGTTGTAAATTTACATTGGTATCATTATAAAAGGAAAGAAATACAACATATAATGAAATATAATATTTTTAGTATTGTAAAGCACGAATATCTATAAATTACAAATTTTGAAAAACTACATTAGTGGTACATCTTGTTGAGACATCCTCTACGTTGCAAATAAGAATTTTCAGGCCATTACAATTTGTTACCCTTGACTAAATACGGGTTTCAGTAACAATAATCCCACGTGTTTTAAAGATTGGCCTTGACTCTTATTAATCGTCATTGCATAAGAAGTAACTACAGGGAATTGTCTTCTTTGAAACTTGAATGGTATTCTTGCATCAGATGGTGTCAGTGATAGTCTTGGAATAACAACTTCTTGACCCACGTGTCTTCCAGATAAAATCTTTCTATTGATCGAGTGTTTAGCCAACCGAGTTACTATCAATCGAGTACCATTACACAAACTCATCGAATGATCAATGTTTCTTAGTAACAAAATCGGGGTGCCTACCTTCAAAATGAGCTCATGATTTGTACTCCGGAAGCACGAATATTATTCAAGAACCAAGGAGTATGCAAATCGTTAAAGAAATTCAAATTAGAGTCCGAGTTCTCAACCTTGTCGGAACTAAGATAAGTGCGTGATTCCTCATTGGGATTCATCGATGTCATATATTCATTTATAGAATCGACGACATCCAACATTGGAGCCAAAATTGCACAGTCCTGCAAATAGGTTAGATCATTTGCTATTTTATGAAAATCTGGATATATAGGTGGAATTCACTATAGTAGCTATAGGATTTCCCGAAGATGGAAGCAACATATCATCAGGTATTGTTACTTCTGCATAGCCATCATGTTCATTTCCTACAACTCCATCGCCAAAACTTACAATCCATTCAGCGAATTCAACTAAATGGTCATAACTACTATATCTAATCATTGATTGCAGTCGCAAGTTTTTTGTTAAACGCAACATAGTGTAATCTTTCCAGATGTACGAAGAATTAATTGTCGAATTAACAATGTCTTGCCTGGTTCCTTTTGGAATTACTGGCAATATTTGCCGGAAATCTCCACCAAAGACTATTGTTTTTCCTTCAAACATTTGCTTTTCACTCAATGGATTGGAAAATCGCAGAATGAGGTGCAAGCTTCTATCTAGAGCTTCGAAGCAATACTTATGTGTCATTGGTGCTTCATCTCAAATAATTAATTTTGCCTTCACTAAAAGTTTTGCTAGTGGTGTTCCTTGCTTTATGTTGCAAGTAGAGTTATCATTCACTTTTACATAATCTGTTATTTTCTCGACCCATTTTAATTTATTGGCAGTATATAAAAAAATTAGTTTTAAACTCAAGTTTAATATTGACATCACATAAAAGGACATTTACAAAGTAATTTACAAAGTAATATAGAAATGAATATTGAGGCAGCTGCTATTCTCGAAAATTAAAATATTTCAAATTTTCAATGCACACAACAGTTTTTTGAAAAATGTTAATAATACAAAATTTCTATTTATACGCAGTATTAAAATAAGAAACTTGAATATTGAGGCAGCCGCTATTTTGGAAAATTAAAATATTTCAATACACACAATAGTTTTTGGAAAAATGTTAATAATACAAAATTTCGATTTACACGCAGTATTAAAATAAGAAACTTAAAAATCAAGTTTAATCTTTTGAGAATTTGATTGTTTAATCACTAAGAAGATTTGTATGAAAAAAGTATCTTATAGTTTTCATAGCCTTATCTCGAATGGAAGTTACTGTCATCTCTATATTGTGTGGGTTAGTTTTAGGTCCAGAATTGCGTTGATACAACGCTGCAACTTTGAAATACATTATCCCCACCACACGTCAATAACCTGTATGATACAATAAAAGCAAATTTATTTTGTCATTTGATTAAAACCACAATTAAAATAAAAAAACATTAACTTCATCAATTTTTCCCTAACACACTCATGGTTCTTTTTGTGTGTGTACTAAAAAACGCAAAAAATTATATTCAAGAATGGAATATTGTTTCCCCAACACGGCATGTGTCCATATTTATACAAAAAAATATTTCGTAAAATGAAAACAGATTTTTTAAAATTAATAAAAATTATCAGAAAATAAATTGTTTACATTAAAGGAGGTATTTTTTTTTAAAATAGTAAATTCCGGATGTAGGAAGTATTATAAAAGGCACGTCTACATATATACATTTTTGTTAAATGCCTGACTACGTTTCATTTTTTAATTAAAGAATGGTAATTTCTGGTTGTAAGAAAATTTATTAAAAGGTAAATTATTAAATGGCCATCTAATTGGAATGATATATTATTTAATTAAACACTTTTTCCAAATAGTAATTTCTGTAGGAAGAAAATAAAAATGGAAAAATCTTAGAATTATTTTTTAGTGCATACGCATTAAAATTAGGGCGTTTCTCCCATGCCCAATCAAATGAGGGGGCATGGATACCCCTCCATCAAATTGCTGACATGTGTACAAATTAAGTAAGAGATTTCTAGAAATTATAGTATGACCCTATCTAATTTCTTCTTGTAAGTTCTTCTCTTCTATTATCACATTTCATTACGGAGTACGTATTAGGAGTTATTACTCCATTTAATGCTTTCATAAAAAGAAGTTTATCACCCCATTTTTTACATTCTCTTAAGTTGCATTTCGTTTAACTTGTTTTTTCTAATTTATTATTTATTTTTATTAAATTTATATTATATCATAATAGATGAGATGCACTCAAATAAGATGTAATTAAATCATATCTTCAAATCAGATCAGACTATATCATATCCTCTCTATTCAGATCAGACAAGATTTATTTAAAAAATATTGAAAAGCAATTTTATTCTTTTGTCTATGATTAAATAATGATTACTATATAATTATAACATTATTTAAGGTCACATATAATTCAATAATAATTACTATTATAATATAAATAAAATAAAAAAATTAATAATTTTTTAGCACAATAACAATGTTACATATGGATAAATGATGCTCATTATTATTATTATTATTATTATTATTAAAATAATAATACTACCTTTGTCTTTCCAAAAAAATACTACCTTTGTTCCTAAATTATTGTTTTCTTTCAAAAAATACGTAAAATAAATGGAGAAAAAGCTATTTTATTTTATTAGATAATCAACAAAAAAGTGACGATATTTATGGATGGAGGGATTAATAGTTTCAATAATACGTACTATTATCTTCGTCTTATAAAAATTACTTATTTTCTCTTCACAAATAATAAAAAAGTAAAAAATGATATGAATATTTAAAAGTAAGTGGTTAAAAACCTTATTTACGCACTAAAAGTATACATTTTCTTTTTCTACAAGTGTATTTTTTGTATTTTTCATATATTTTTTCTATTCTATTTTTTTTAATTGTCTTTCACTATTCCTTGTTGTCTTTTTAAACGTCTCAAAAAGTTTTTCTTTTTATTTCAAAAGACAAAAAAATATAGACAATGAATTTTAGTTTCTTCATTTCATTTACTTTTTATATCTAATAGAAACAATATTGATTTTTAAAATAATTTCAAAAAAAATTTCAAAAAAATAAAAAATGAACAAAAAATAAGATATTGACTTCGATGCCGTGTGATTTAAAAATTAGACATTAATCCCCCTCTTCGCCGAAAAAATGAACGGGAAAAGTTACAGGGAATGTCTATGCGGCGCTTAAAAATCATAAGAGATCGAAAAAGACTAAAGTATGAGTAAAATATTAAGAATATATCAAAATAAGAGTTCCGTGTTCCATATTTTTATTCTTGAAATAAGAGTTAAAATGCATTTACATTACCAATCATGATCATATTTATTACAAAAAAGTATAGTAAAATATTCATGTACAATGTTATATAACCACAATGCGAACTTCTATTTAGAAATTAAAAACATGAAACTCCTATTTTCATATTTTTTGTATGTTTTATTCTTATTTAGGGTAATTTCTAAAATAATAAAGATTATTTTAAAAATAAGTTTTAAAAATAGAGAGAATGTTGGTCCCTATTTTTTTCTAAACCACGAGAGACTAGAATTATTACTCTATTAGGCCATTTCTATTTAATTTTGCTTTTAATGAAAAAATGTAGTGAAAAAAATATGACGAAAGCAACAAGTTAACGAAATGTGAATATGTGATAAAGGAAGGGAAGAACTAACAAGAAGAAATAGATAGGGCCATACTATAATTTTTAGAATTTAAAATGATGTGGAGTCTCTTACTTAATTTGTACACATGACAGCAATTTGATGGAGGGGTATCCATGCCCTCTCATTTTCTTGGGCATGGGAGAAACGCCCTTAAAATTATATATAGATGGTAACTTCTTCTTGAATAA